TTTTTCCAAAACTTTTAAAAAACATGGATTAGCCCAGTTCATGGCCTGGCTAAGACTTAGCCCGCGGACCAGCCTGGCCCACAGCATGACATAGGCTTGTGTGGACTCGGGCCGAGAGCTGTATCGGTCCGATCTCCTAAAGTATCCTTGGGGAGGGAAGAACAACCCGCATGACACAACCCAACATGGCCTAGTTGTAAATAAAATGAGAGATAAAGATAATTTAAATATATATATATATATATGAAAAAGGTAGAAGTTTAGTGGTATCATTGTAAATAGTTAGTTGTGGCACCATTGTAAATAATTATATGTTTAGTATCAAATATGAAAAAGGAAAAGTAGAAAAGACAAGTTATGATTGTTTTTTGTTTTAAATGCGTTTTTATAGTTTAGACCACCCTAGAAATCTGAGCCCCACCGTATAGGTGGGATGAATCCTGACCATGAATCAATGCCAAATCCATTGCCAAGATACAATTTATAGGTGGGCTACTAGTAGACTAGGAAGGGGCTATGATTTTAGATTTATGAGGTGGACAACAGTCTACTTATCCCTTAATTAAATTTGTAATGGTAATGGTTAAAAGCTTGATGGTAAGTGGTAAGTGGCTTTTAGGTTATATATATAAATTACTAGTCGAGGGGCCCATATGATGTAGGGGCAAAACATGATGGTAAGTGGCTTGTCAAACCTAAATTATTATATAGGAAAAAAATTGAGAAAGATAATTTTTTAATTAAAAGTTTGTTGGAAAATATCTATTTAAAATAAATAAAAATTTTTGGATAATAATATATTTAATTTAATAAAATAAAATAATAAATAAATAAATTATCATAGCCATCCGGGAATAGAGTGAAAGAGGGAAAGATGTTTTTTGTTTTATATAGTAGAATAATTGTAAATAGTTAAATAATAATTAATTTAACTTAATAAATAAATAAATGAGATAAATAAAACTAAGTGATAAAGTAGACATATATAAATATATACACGATTCTATGTCTTACTTTGCTAGCAATAATAATTTGTTAGATTATTAAATTATTAGATAATTACATAATTTAGTAAAATAAGCAAATAAATAAATAAAACCTCATGTATTATCAACACCAGATTAGTAAAGGCTATCTCAAATTATTTAATTAATTAATTTAGCGTTGTTACTGGGTTGGGCTAAATTACTCGGCTACCAAGCCCATGAACAGGCTTAGCCCGGTTCGTGGCCCGACCTAACCAAAGGCTTCGCCTGTGGACCAGCCTGACCCATGGCACGACACGGACCCGTGCGGACTCAAGCTAAAACAAAATTTTAAGATCTTCTTTAATTTTTTTGTCTATTTTTTAATTCATGTTAAATTTTTCATTATTTTTTTCTTCAAAAATTTTAAAAAACATGGCTTAGCCCAGTTCGTGGCCCGACCTAGCCTAAGACTTGGCTTGTGGCATGACACAGGCCCGTGCGGGATCAGGCCGTATATTATATACAATAATTATATAATTTTATTTTCAATTTTATTATATTATTTCATTTTATTATTGCATATTAAACAATTGTACACATCAAAATTCATATAAAATAAAACTTTATGATCTTTTTTAATTTTTTATCTATTTCATTTTATTATTGCATATTAAACAATTGTATACACCAAATTCATATAAAATAAAAATTTAAGATCTTTTTTAATTTTTTGGCTATTTATTCTAATATATGTTAAAATTGTCATTAATTTTTTTAAATTTTTTAAAAAAGTGGCTTGTCCCGGTTAGTGGCCTGGCCTGGCCTGGCCTAAGACTTGGCCTGCAGCACAACACAGGCCTGCACGGGCCCGAGCCGTATATTATATACAATAATTTTACAATATTTAATTTTTCAATTTTATTATATTATTTCATTTTATTATTACATATATAAACAATTGTACACATCAAAAATCATATAAAATAAATTTTTAAGATATTTTTAAATATTTTATCTATTTTTTTTAATTTATGTTAACTTTTCATTATCTTTTTCAAAATTTTTTAAAAGCATGGATTAGCCCGGTTCATGTCACCAATGTAAATAATTACATGTTTAGTATCAAATATGAAAGAGGAAAAGTATAAAGGACAAGTTATGTTTGTTTTTTTTATTTATTCAATGGCATCATTATAATTAATTAAATTTATAATGGTAATGATTAAAGGCATGAAAAAGGAAAGATTATAAGATTATAAGATTTCATTTAGGCCCTATTCGCTTTTTGGTAAGTTACTTATCTAGGTAAATGCACTTATATGGGTAAGTGTTTCCCAAAAAAGGCTTGCCTGGGTAAGCACATTTACCCATGTTCTTTTATTTCCCATGTAAATAAGGCAATGACCATTTTAGCCATCAAAATCCATTATTAAAAGGGGTATTTTTGTCTCATTCAAGTGTTGACAATTTCCCCCCCAAGTGGAAAAGTTATTTACCCACCTAGGAGATGGGTATCACTTACCCGTAAGTAATACTCAGGAAAATAAACTTTCCCTGGTCCCCACATAAATATGAAAAAAGAATATGATTTTCTTGGTCAATGGGATTCCCCCTCTCTCTCTCATGATTTTCTTGGTCAAATGTAAGCAATGGTCATACAACCATTTGGAAAATGCAAGCAATCGACCAAAATCCTATTTGATTTTAACTAAAACCAACAATTGTAAATGACTAAAATGCTTGATATAGAGTTCAAACTACTGTTGACCCTCCTTTAACCTTTATTTCTTTTCACTTTTGAAACAAAAAAAAAAAATCTTGGAACCCTAACCTCTTCTTTTATTCTCTCATCATTGGCATTTTGATGTTCCTCCTTGTCATTGACATATTAATATGTTTCTACCATCTTGACTTGCACGATACATACGAGTCCGGATCTCCTGCACATCGATCCTGTAGATCTTCTTGTACATCAAATGAGAGGGTGCCATATCAGCACTGCAATATGGGCAAAACTTGCATGCGAAAGTGACAATAATGGATGTTTCAAAATGCCCTTTCATCATATTTTTAATATATTAAATTTTAAATCAAATAAAAATAGGAGATAAAGGTTTAAAGGCTTTCTTCTTGAGAATATTTAACACCATTGGCAGGGACAGACCAGCTAAATCACACTGGAAATATTACTGTAAAGCTTTGACTTTCGACTGAGGATCTCTCCACTTTTTTTATTATGCTCCCTTTATTCATGTTTAGGATGTGGAAATTATGAAAGGGGATGAATAATTTAGGTTTTGTAATATATCTGAATTAGCTAAAAAAATTGGGAGTTTCAGTGAGTATAAATATATTATTGTTGAACACTTTTCCATTGTTGATTATTGTTCAAGGTCTGAAAATTGTTTATGATTTCAAAAGTTAAATATGGGAAGAAAAATGGTTGGGATCATGGTAATGGGAACTTGAGGTGCGGATTTATCTCTACAAAAAATCTTCAAAGGGTATAATTTCGAACTTCAATGGTAGACCCAAATCTACTAGAAAAACCCATGTCCATGACGTAAAGCCAAGATCCAAATTCCTCAAGGAAGACTTGTCTTACAATAACAATGACTCGTTGCAGAAGGACGAGAAGTCTCCATGGGATTAGTAACCCTTGAAAGCTTTGTCACACATTCAGAATTGTAGATTCAGTTTCTCTCTAGTGCATTCAATCGAAGGGTTGCTACTAAATTTCAACAACATCAGTGTATGTGTTCACTAGAAGATAAGGGAGGTTGGGTTGCAGACACACATAGCTAGGGTTTTCGAAGGGACCATTTATTTTGAAGATACATTGACACACAAGGTTTTGTCTATGGTAGCCATAACGGGCCTCACCATTTGAACAAGTATTAAGCACAACATTTTTTGCTTCATGCTTTCGTTGGTGGTACACAGTGCTTAGGCATGAAGATTTCCACTGGTTTGTTTTAGATATGTTCAGTTCCTTGCAGGAAGTTTTGAATGAAAGAAGAAGAAGAAACCCTTATTTCCTATTCTTTATTGGTGTATGTTTCATCTCAAGCATTCCGTTCTAGATCAATGGTAAGCAATGTTCAGGCATGCAGTTTTCTATTGGTTTGTCTCATGCCCATTCATTGAGAAAAGCTTTCAACAAAAGAGGAAGAGAGAATTTTAGGCTATGTTTGGTTTGAAGGAAAATGTAGGGAAAGAAAGGGAAACCTTTACAAACCTTGTATTAGTTTCCCTGTCTTTCCCTTCCTTTCCCTACCTTTTCCTTCAAAACAAATATAACCTTAATGTAAATTTTAACAAGGAAAAAATAGAATGGGAGGACGTTTGGAACTGTTAATTCCGATCGCATATACAAGATTTGTTTATGCTACGGTACTAGCGTGGCACTCTCTGGAAGATGTACAGGGATCAAAGAAATTAATAAGAAAAATACGGTAAAATACAGCCCATGAAAGAAATTGACAAGGAAAACAACAAACCAGTGAGTTACGATGAAGATGTATTGAGCTGTGAGGGTTAGGGAAAACTTGAGGGTTATGCAAGATTTAAAAAAAACAAGAGCCAAAATGACCATAATCCTCCACTTGCTGATCACACCACACATTGCTGGTCATATATGTACAAGAGTTCGGATTTGCAAAACACAACAGGCCACATTCATCCAGACACATATATCGAACATTGGTTGTGCTGTGTTAACCGATATTTTTAACATGTGGCTAGATGAGTGTGGCCAGCAATGTATTGTGGTCAGTATATTTAAGTTATTTCCCAATGTGCAAGAAGGTGAACGTGGGCAGCAATGTGTTGTAGTCAGCAGATTTAACCAGCCATAAGCTTTGGATGATATGGCACTCCCTTAAAGGGCAAACTTTACAGGTGGTCTGTTAGAAAACGAAGTTCAATATAGGCAGTTCCTATTTGCCACGTCACCAATAATTTAGCCACGTCAGAAAGCAGTGACTTACCCGCGGGTGACCCAGTACCTTCTTGATCCTGTAACTCCAATTGCAAAGCCAAAGGCCCAAACGTAGCTGCCGTACAGTAAGATCGAGGAAGGAAAATTACGGCGGGGCCGAAGCACACTTTTCAACAAAGCACTCTCTTCCTCTCTGTCTGGCTCTGCTGGGCTTCTTCACAGAAAAGAAAACTCCATAGGGCATGGGCTTTTGTTTTTGCTCGTTCTGAGTAGCTATCTTTGCTCGAATTCTCGGATCTCTTCTCGCACATGGTTTTCAGGGACAGATCATGGCGAACTACTTAGTTCAGTTTCAGACGATCAAGAATGCGTGCGATCACTTGATTATTGCAGGTAAGACCTATTTCTTTCTCATTTATGAATATAATTCCTAAATTCCAATTATGGTTTCGAATTCGGTTTTTGTAGAATCTGCCGAGCTACATTTCCCCCCCTCCTAATTATTATCTCGGATCTTAATTTTCGAGATTGTTATCCTACAAATGGCATCAACTGCAGTTTGGTCCGACCTGGTAAATCCATGCTTTTAAATACACGTTTGGTAAAAAATCGTGTTTATGGCAATTACACTTCATTTACTACGATGTCAACTGTTCAGATTTGGGTTGGCATTGAAGAAGAAAATGCTGCCCTTTTTAACTAGTCATTGGCGTCGGATTGATTAAACTGGGTATAGGTTTTAGCCCCCTCCCTACAATTTGTAGCCCCTCTTTGGAAATGACGTGGATTAGATTTATTACTTAAGTTACTATCACCATGTTCTATCCGATTTTCAGTCGATTTCATCGGGTGTATGAAATTAGTGTCTGAAATCGTTCGTACAAACAAAACTCTCACTATGCCTTTTTGAGATGAGGTGAAATAGTAAGCAGAGTCGTCCTTGAATAAAAAGATAGGGTATAAGTTTTGTAAAGAAATGCATGAGAATGTTAATAATGAAGAGGGCACTAAGGTCTAAATGCTTATTACAATCTCTTTGATCCAGACGCAAAATATCCAAAGTAAGTTATCGTCTGTGTTATTGTGTTTATAAGAAAAAAGTAAAAAAAGGAAAGAAAAGAAGAAAGATCTCAGACCTGGTTATTTTTGCAATAAGGGACTATTGGTTTGAGAGTCAAGACACAAGATCTATATGTATCAGAAGTTTCATACTGCATCAACTTGTTATTTGTAACATGTAAAGGTACAAATTATATTCTGCTGCTACAAATTGCTAGGACTAATATCTTTTTTATACTTGGGGTTTTCACTGTATACAAGCATCAACTGTGCAACATCCAAATGGAAAGAAAACCTCTTGGCAACAAGAATGGGGGGAGGGGGTTGCTAATGCCCCAAACTCAGTCTTAAGGGAATTAACAATTAGATTTGGAATAGGACTCACTCAAGAATGATGGAGGAACTGAAAGATAGCTGACATTGGACTGGTGATGGACAATTTTGATACATAGCGAAGTAAGAATGTAAGATTGGGAAGACAATTTTGATAGTTTGATATTCAATTCTTTCTTTTCTGAAAATGGTAAAGTATATTTGTATTAAGATTCAAGTTTTGGTGCAACGGTTTGGTTGCTCCATTGCGACCTGGGTGACCAGGGTTCAAATCTTGGAAACAGCCTTTCTGTATGTGCAGGGGTAAGGCTGCATACATCTGTTCCCCAGACCCCGCATTGGCGGGAGCCTTGTGCAGTAGGCTGCCCTTTTTGTATTAGGATTCAAAAAAGTATAGAAGACCATGCACACTGAGGGGCTGTACAATGGGAATGTACAGAAGTTTGTTTTCATGACTGTGCAAAAAGATTCCCATAAGACACAAGAGTTATGAGGCACATCCCTGAAACTGTGATGCATGCTTAACCACGAGTGAATAGAACCCAATAGTTTCCTCTTGGGATTATCCATGCTACAGTAAGACCTGTTCATGGGCTGGGCTTCAGGTTCAGTCCATGAACATTTTACACTGCTACGGGCTCAGGCTTTGGGCTGGGCCTATTCAAAATTTGACAAAAGCTAAGCAAGGGCCCAGCCTATGAACAGGTCTAGCTGCAGCTACTGGTTTCAAAGATGTGAGAGTTACTCTCTCTCTTCCTATCTTCCTATCAGCCACAGAATTGCTAGGGTAATCTCCATACAGTCCAGCCTCTAGAATCTCAGGGAAGCAGAATTAAATCCCAACAAATCCAGAACCACTCCCCAGAATTCAGATGATACACAACAGTGAATGAAAGGTGATTGTGTGGCTCAGCTGCTTCATGGCATAAGACACAGGTCTTGTTGGCCACACTCACTCCCCTCAAAATCAGTTTTTCAATTAAGGGGCACATCTGATGGATAGCTGTTGGGGCCATGAAAGCAATTTTTGAAGGGGCTAGAGGCTGCAAAGTGATAGAGCTTGGGAAAGGACCTGAAGGAGGAGACATCAACCTGTTAAAGAATGATTTCACAGAGAGAACTGTATAGAAGTGCTCTGGGCCCATATTCTTTTGTCTTCATGGGCCGGCTTGGGCTCAATGGCTTGGATTTTTTTTGCATGAAAACCAAGAAAGGTCCAATTTCCCAATCGTTGAGAGATCTTCTTAGATCTAGTGTCCACACAGTATTATTGCCATGCATCTCATAACAATCCTTAACAGAAATCTTCTTGTCCAGAACAATTAAAAATAGGTATGGGAAAGACAGTTTCAATGGTCTGTCATCATACCAAGGATCTGACCAAAAGCTAACCCTTGAGCCATTCCCAATTTGATATTTAATTCCTTGGAGGAATTGCTGCTGGTGCTTTAATATACCCTTCCAAAGAGAACAACGGTAAGGAGCTGATGTAAAGTGGAACTAATCTGTACAGTTATTTTTTAGTTAATTATTTATTTATACTATGAATAAGCTTCCTAGTGGTAACAGCAGATGGTTATGTTATGCTATAAGATATTCCAGTGTTAGATCTATCAAATAAACACATTCCAGTGTTAGAAATATTAACATGACAAATGATTATCAAATACCAATAAAGAATTAACATGACAACAGACCAACAATAATTTTGTATAATTCACTGAAAAAAATTAATTGAAATTGTAATAGAGGATATTAATAGAGAAACAAGTCCAGTATTAACTCAACTCAACTCAACAAAGTCTTGTCCCAACCATATGGTGTTGACTAGATGAATCATGTTCCTCTATTCCACTCTCTTGAGTGCCATATTCATTGTGAAACTTGCAAATCATTTTCACTACTTCAATCCCATTCCCATTTTGGTCTGCCCCTAGCTCTTCTAGAGTCTTAAACTTGCAACAGGTCACTTCTTCTTACTAATGTTGTAGGGTCTTCTGTGCATGTGACCAAACCATCTTAGTCTAGCTTCCCTCATTTTGTCACTTATCAGAACTACTCTGAGATTCCTACAAATGCACTCGTTTATGATTCTATCTTTTCTACTTTTTTCCATCATCCATATTAACTGAAAAATTGACCAAAATATAGAAAACCCTTTAGTTTTTTCTGGCGTTGATCTCTGTCATTGTGGCAAATTATATAACTATATATTTATAGCCATCCATACAAGTTATATAGTGCAACTTGGATGGGCCTGGATTGAATTAGCATTTGCTAATTTTTGAAGGGCCTGAGGCCTTAGCCCTATATGGTGGAAGTTCTTAAAATGGGTGCCTGATTTGCACTCCTAACAAGTTATCTTTACAGTTCCCTACTGGGGGAAGTAAATATGGAAAATTTTAGAAATGATTTCAAATTCCAGTCCAGTGCTAGTGCCTTTAATTAAAATATTGAATTCTCTCATTTTAGTTTTCTGGTCTTTGCCTGTGGTTGTTGACCTTCCACCATATATTTCAGCTCATGTTCTATTTTATTCAATGCTTCCAGTTGAGGATGTAAGTGATTTATGGCCTATTGTGAAAGGTGGATTTGAGGCACGCTTGCCATTTAAAAGAGCTAGCTTAAATAACAAGACTCGTAATCCTGTGTATGTGGAAAAATTGCCTGCTGAATTCATATTAACAACAGATTCAAGACTTCGTAGCCGTTATCCACAGGAACAGTCAGTATTTTGGTTCCGAGAACCATATGCCACTGTGGTTCTTGTTACTTGTGAGGTATACTGTGAACTTGCTTAGCCTATTTACTGCTTTTTTGTTGTAGTTATTGTTGTGACTACCCAAGGTTGAGATACCTGAGATCTTGAACACTGTATAGTTTTGCTTTACCATTTTACCCATTTTTAGTTGTTGAAGATTTTCATGATATATTTATGTCAGAACTTTATTATTAATCTGCTTCTGTCATTACTTCAATTGTTTTTGTCTTATATGTGGGGTTTCACCCTATTATTATGTGATACTCAATATTGAAGTTTGGATGAATTGAAGTATTTGATGTTACAACATCCTTTATGTTTTTTAGTCATTCTTTCTTTGAAGTTAAATGATCTTTCTAGATGCCTAGGACTAGTTTTGACTTGATAGGAATTATTTTTCATTGAAAGATAAACAAGTTGGTGATTGGTAATTATCATCTCAATGTGGATATTTGTTTTTTTTTTGAAAAATGTAAAGCACGTTTATTAAAATAAACAGACGGAAGGCTAATGATACAGCAAACCACCCAGGCCAACCCCAAGCCAAATAGGCAGAGCCCCCAGACAGAAACAACTCTATCAAAACATAAGTACACAAGGCAAGGAGGCTGCAGAGTGGCCTGATAAGAGAATTCCCTAGATACAGAGGCTGAGGACCAACCCTGCCAACAGATGATTGATAAGTCCATCCACAGTCTTGGCTTTGGTAACCATATAATTGTATTAGTTATGAAGAAAAGAGAACTTATCATTTACCCCAAACCGGATATAGAGAAGAGTATAGAACAGTGCAAAAGCTGACAGTAGCAGTATTTTTTGTAGTACAGAGAAGAAAACTATTGCATTACATTGACACATGGCCCAGGTACACTCCAAAAAAGATTGCCCCTATTTACATCATTACTTGCAAGTGCATCTAATATTGTATTGGCCGATTGAGGTATCAGTAGCTGATCAAAACTGCAATAAATCTGTGTATTTAATCAAAGAAATCAAGAGAAACTGATTTACAACAATAAGAAGGAAGAAGAGAGATTGTATTTTATTAGATCTAAACATAATTAATGAGAAAATTACAAGGATGCCCCTAATAGGATGGCTGCAAGAGTAAACACATAAATAAAGGGCTTTAGGCCCATTAATATAAAATAAAAGAAAGCAAAGACAAGAACTAAAGGTCGACCCAACAGCTCAACAATATCCATTTGAAAAAGTAGTTCAAATTAGATGCCAAAAGATTTAGCTTCCCTAATCACTTATTGCAGTATCCAAGGACTCTCCATTTTGTTTTCTATCCAGATTAGGACCACTTTGCAGTCTTCTTCCACAAGCAGAAGGAGAGGTGAACACAGACACAGCAACATGTTCACACCAATATGCCTTTCAAAAAACAAGGAAAACAGATCAGGTCGTGACCCGCTCTGATATCTTGTCAGAGTTAGGTCAAGAAGAAGAAGAGGAGTTGATCAGGTGTGTCAAAACTGGCCCCCACACCCAGAAAGTTGGTCTTTATATTAAAAGATAAAAGGATTATTCTGTCCTTAAGATACAAACAGTGTACAACCAATATACAAGTAGTGTACAGTAAAGTACAGCAAATATACAAGGGAAAATGAAAAAAACTAACCAGCCCTAATTTGCTGAACATTGAAGCTGCACGGCCAGTGAAGAAGATTTTCCTTTTTCTTTCTCTCTAGTGGCTGTATTCCTTGAAGTTTCTTGCTTCTTGCATCACCCAGGCTTGCTACATCAACTGATCTTTGCTGTGCTTGGTTTGGATCTGTTCTAAGAAGGTTTCAATCCTTATCTTGGAGTGGAAACATGCTGCTGCTCTCTTGTTAGTCATTTTCCAGGACTGTTATAGGAGTTCATTTTGGAGTGGATTAAATCAGGGTCCAAGAAGATTTTGATTATTAGCTACTCCTTTAGTCCACCAGGTCTCAAATTAGTCTTTTTGACCAAGTTTGGCATTTCCTATTCTCTCCTTTTTTTTGGTTTCCTTATGCTTAAGTAGCTTTGTTCTTTTTCCTATTGTTACTTGATCAATATTGTTAACAGTTGATCAGTATTCTTAACTGTCAAGAGAGAAACTAATTATTCTATTGTTGCTGCTTGGTTTCCTTTTTAATGGTTGCGGGAAGAGCTGATATTCTTTCTATGAAGTTCAATGGATCTAACTATGCCTTGTGGAAGTTTCATTTCCAATTTCATGTTAAAGCCAAGGGACTTTGGGGCTATTTGGATGGCTCAACTATTAATAGTGTAAAAATTACCTCTTGGATCCTAGGTTTGGTTGAAGTTGACATTGCCATTCTGATGTGTGGATACAGGACTACTTATGAGATACCAATACCTGGAAAAAGTATATAAACAGTCCAATATCTCTTGGCAATATCAAATAAAAGTAGATATATGTTCTAGAGAGGAAGATTCAAGAGTATTATGCTGGATTCATTAATTTATGGACTAAATATGAACTAGTGCACATGGGAGAGGATCCTTCTACTTGTTGTGTCAAGTTCATGAAAACACATTTTGATAGAAGAAACTTTATGCATTTTCTAATGCATTTTAGGCCTGAATATGAAGTTGTTAGGTCTAATATTCTGACTAGGGAAACACTACCAGACTTGGATACTATTCTTGGGGAGCTTCTAAGAGAAGAAACTAGATTGACTACTCAGATTGCATTGGATGGAAAGAGGGACTCTCTAATTTGGATACTGTTTTTTCACCACCAAACCGAAAGGAAAGAAGTACAGTGTTATGAATGCAAAGGACTTGGACATATGGCTCCTATTGTAAGAAACAAGGACATATGGCTCCTATTGGAAGGCTAGATATTATTGGATGTGATGATCCATTTTTTGTCTACTAAATCTTCTCCATTTCTCTTACCCAAGACTTTGTACCCCAACTTACAACCAATTTGATCTCTGTTGGACAACTTGTTGAAGATGGTAAAATTGTTTTTTTTTTCTTCTAATGGTTGTTTGATACAGGATCAACGAATTGGGGAGGTCAAGGGGAAGGGGGCATAGACCGGGACAGTTGTTTCTCTGGAATTCAAGAAGAAGGCTCCCTCTACATCTTCTTCCATTTTACTTTCTACTACACCTTGTTTTGAAACTTCTAATTGTAATAATGCTTGGAATTTATGGCATAGACGTTTTGGACATCCTTATTCAAAGAAGTTGATTTTTTTTTGTTTACTTCTAGTAGCTTGCCATTTTTGGTTACTTTGCTTAAAGATGCCAACAAAGATTGCATTATTTGTTCCTTGTGAAAAGCCATGTCTTACCATTTCCCTCTTCATGTGAGCATGCTTCTTTGCCTTTTCAATTTATACACAGTGATGTTTGGTTGTCTCCAGTTGTTTTTGAGTTGGGTTACAAGCATTTTGTGACAAATGGATGATTGTACTCGCTTCACCTGGATTTACTTTCTTCATAAGAAATCCCAAGTTTTTTTCTTCTTTTAAAATTTTTGGGCCCAGGTCACTGCTCGGTTCAAAACTACTATTTGCATCCTATGTGTTGATTCAAGGGGAGAGTACTTTGGTGAATACTTCCAAGACTATTTGAAACAAAAAGGCTTCCAATCTCAAAAATCTTGTCTTGGCAATCCATAACAAAAAGGAGTCGCAGAAAGAAAGAATAGACACATTTTGAGTGTTGCGAGGACTCTTGCAAGATTCACATCTTCCTACATGGTTTTGGGTGGAAGTGGCCAACATTGCCGTGTATCTTATAAATCTTCTTCTCTCATCAGTTTTGAGTAATTCTTCTCCTTTGCAGTCTCTTTTTAACCATCCCTCAGACTTCTCTATGCTTCGTGTGTTTGGTTGCATTTGTTTTGTTCATCTTCTTCCATAAGAAAGCACCAAGCTCACAACCCAAGCTGCTTTGTGTGCCTTTATGGGTTATAGTCCATATCATAAGGGATTTCTTTTCTATGATCCTAAGGCCCATTGCATGTGCATTTCTTGTAATATCATTTTTCTTGAAAATATTTCCTATTTTGAACATATTGTTAAGTTGCCTGCTTCGCCTATTTCTTTGTTGCATAGCTTTGACTCTACAAATTCTATGAATGCATCTCCATCATTTTTAAAGCCTCTTCTAACATTTTTCCCGAAGTGGTCAGCTGTTCTAGCCCCTATACCTCTTCCTTCTTCATCACCAGACATTGGTCATCCCACTTCCAGTGACGTTGTAAGTCCCTTTGTTTCCCATCTGATTCCAATTTATCTCCTGCTCCTACTTTGTGTCATTCATCTAGAGTTTTCTAGACCCCCTGATTGCTATGCTTTTCCTTTAGACCATAGCTCATTGTTTATTGTGTTGTTGTCTACAAATATCCCTAAATCATACTAGCAAGCTGCTGTCCTTCCTCATTGGAGATGCCGTGGACACGAAACTTCAAGCCCTTTTTGAGAACGACACCTAGGAGCTTGTTTCTCCTCCAAATGTCTCTATCATCGGTAGCAGATGGGTGTACTCTATGAAGTTAAAATCAAATGGGAGTCTTGCCTGATATAAGGCTTACCTTGAAGAGTATGGATAAATTATGAAGAGACTTTTGTATTAGTAGCAAAGATGACAACAACCCGATTACTTTTGGCAATCTCTTCAATTCAGCAGTGGGTGCTTCATCAAATGGATGTGAAGAATGCCTTTCCACATGGGGAATTAAAGGAAGTTGTGTACATGAAACCTCCTCTTGGGTATTGTGATAACTCTCATTTTGTTTGTTGTCTCAAGAAATCCCTATATGCTTAAACAAACTCCAAGAGCCTGATTTGATAGATTCCGTTTTGTCATTATTGATGTTGGCTTTATACAAAGTTCTTCATATTACTTTCTTTTTACCTTGCATTGTTCTCACTGAGTGATTATACTCCTCTTGTATGTTGATGATATTATCATCCTGGAGGATGATTAGAAAGGAATCGTGCATTTGAAGCAATTGTTAAGTGAATCCTTCAAGATGAAGGGCTTGGGTCATTTAACCTATTTC